TTTGCAGACTGCAACCAGGCCCCATTTACAGCCAGTTTTTTCTTTGTCCATCCTGGGCTACTATAGAAACATACCTCATTCTAAGGTAAAGAAAACAACGGTTCTTACTTTCAGGTGATTACACGCGAATGAGAACATACCTATCAATATTAGATTTCTGCCAATATATCCCAAACGTTACACACTGGACTTTTGCAGGTTAAAAGGTACTTTGTTTCTGACCACTAGTAGCGCTATAAATCAATGATGTTTTTACGAGGGGGCCCTATTTTGTTTGACGGCATTTAATGCCTGCAACTGCATTTTAGTTGTCATGCAATCACTCAAATGTTGTAATGCTTTATAAGCCATAAACATAAACTGCTACTATGGACAGAATAAATAGTATATTTAAGCTTTTTGGTGTGTGTAGGATAATATGCAACTTCCCAACTAACAGCCCAGGGACATTATTGAACAGTTACTAATTGGTATAAAAAAATCTTTTTATTTTCATTTTAGAAAATGGTCAGAGGGGCCATCCGGGACACTATAGTGGGCTGCAAGTTCGATATCACTGCAGTGGTGCTTCTATCATGTTTTGAGTTTGTCGTACGTTCGCACTTGACAAATGATAAAGCATACTTTAAACATATTACTAAAATATATTGCAGGGAAAGACATTAATTTCTAATGTGGTTTTTGTGGATACTATTGACCCAAACTGCGAGTCACTTACAGCTAAAAAAAATACTTTTAACTTGTTGTTAATGGTGGCACGCTTGTTTTGAAGAAAGGCGAAAAAACACAAAAAATAAGACAATAAAATGCACTAAAAAACATTTTTGCATACATGTTAAGTTGTCTAGTTTGATGAAAGCAGTCAAAGTCTGAGTTTGATTCACATCCTTTGACACACGTTTCTTTCATATTACTACAATATGGTGAAGTACTTAGATTTCCCATGCAGTAACTTCCAACTGCATTTTCATCATTTTCTATCATATTCATACATGTTTTATCATATTTAATATTATGGAAATATACAGTGTCTCTTACATTGATTTCTTAGTGCTTTGAGCACACACATCTAGTATGGGCACACAGAGCAGGTATCCTTATTTAAAAAAACTCAATACATGACCATACATTTTCAAATAAATGGCCACAGGTTAAAAAAAATCATAGACAAAAGACAAACAGTTTTTAAAAAAGTGATTTAAATGCATTCAGAAAACTAACTCAAGGTTGAAAATGTTTACTTACACTTGCCTTGGCTACACCAGGGAAATTATGAACAATTTCTCAAACAGCATTTTCCATCAGTGAGGACATTCTGCAGCAGAAACACCAAACCAGAAACTTAAATGATTCCTTGAGTGTTTGTGAAAGTTGGTCTCATTTTCTAGACTGCCTTATCAAAAATACTTGATTAATTTACCTTCAGTGTACGCTACTTTAATTTTTTTTTCTAATTAAAATATTGTTGCACAAACAAAACTAACTTAGTAACTACAATTTATGTAGGAAATTGGGGAATAATAATAAAAAGTTGTTCATTTCACACTATTTTCAGACTTTTTCCACAGCAGATTTGAAGAAAACTCGGGGGTGCTCATCCCAAACCACAACAGTGTTCACTGCTTAACCACCCTAATACAATATGAACAACACAGTAAGTCACAACTGTTCAGATTACTAAAACCAGACTACAGTCTCAGGCCAGCACCAGTCGGCACAGCTCAAACAACATTGTTAATAACAAAATTGCAGTAGCAGTTGCGAGTTTACCCTCTGTAATTAGACAGACAAATAAGATTGTCATTACATCTGAAAGCAATAAGTAAAGGATGAGCATCACAAGTAAAAAGGGATAAACAGCGAATTATCTGCACCAGTGAAAAGTGATTACAGTTGCAATGTTTCCCCATCGGACCATTTAGTGGGTGGCACCAGCAGCTGGTGGAGAGACAACAGATAACAGTGTGCTGAGTCCATCCATGATCGAGACTGAGCATATGTTACTGCTGCTATTTTAAAAACCAGGAGAAAGTTAGTTTTGAGATGTGTCAGTACTGTACATATTGAAACCAATTATCCAGAGGAGGTAGAGGAGGGCCTTGATGATAATGATGCTGTTGCCAACATCAGTGATGTCCAGACAGCTGGTATCCTGCTGGCACAGCAGTACATCAGGACCTCATTAATAACATTAATAACAAGTTTGCTCAATAATATTCTATTTGCAGTGGACAGTGGTGGTGTTATTTGAAAAAGGACATCACTACAATACACACAAGCGAAAATGGCAATTACATGAACAAATAGTCATTATTTTTTATTTAAATTCTCCAAATCCCTGTTCTTTGAGGTCGTATTTTCTGTGCTGCCAATTATTCCCCAGCTGTATTATGAGCCTTTACGCCTTTATCCTTTTTTTGTATAGCTGTATTCACATAACATGCAATAATTTCCTCATTACTTAAGTGATGCAATCAGGAGAATTTCTAGAATTAATGACAAACTATGCTTATAACAACAACTACAGAGCTGCAATTCCAACCACACAACCTTTAAAACAAATGTGGTTGACCACACCACAACTCCTGTTTTTCTTCTTACATTTTTTTTCCCCCATCTCCATATTAGTGTAGGGAGTGACATTTTGGGATAAAAAAAAGAAAACCCAACAAAAAACAGGACGTTTGTGTTAGTGAGAAAAGACATGCAAGACTGCTTTTCCAAATAGGAAGATATCATGAAAATAAGGCCAATTTTATTGACAGCTATGCCTTCAACTCTGTGACGCATTGATTTAAGACAGAAAATAACCCCCCCCCTTTGAAATCTTTCATTTTGATGTTAACTTAAGCACCAGTTTGGCAATACTGTCTATGATCGAAACTCTACATTTATATTACACAGATTGAGGTCATCCGGGCTAAAACTGCAGTTTACATGACAGCGTACAAGTAGTTAAATTGGATTTATCCCCCACCACTTTCTAGCCGGTCTACAAGTATTGCATTTGCGCTGTGTGTCAGAGGTCTGGTGAGACGTGCCGTATGAGAAAACTCAGCTTTGTTAGCAGGCTTGGGAGGCTGCTAGTCAATATAGCTGCAAACATAGGACGTGGAAGCATGGAACTGGGGGATTTTGGGGTAGATGGGGGTGACTCAGAGAGGAACCATTCTCCTGTGTTACATCACTGCTGCTTGCTATGGGGGATGATTGGTGCCACAGAGTAAAAACATCGGACTCGGGATGCACACACTGACTAGAAGTATTACACCAGTCTCTGCAGTTGCCACAAGGTTAAAATGAAATTTAACACATAGTCGATCATTTCTTCAAATGCTTCTGCGGGTATAACAGAACCAGACTGATACGTTGCTGGGAAATGATTACTGGCCAGTAGTCACCGATCATCTTTTAGCATGCGTGTTGGCTGAAAAGTAATAGGCATTTGCAGGGCAGAAATGACTAAAATGTGTGTTGTGACCATAAAAACAGGCTGGATAATGCATCATTTGTCCACCAGAGAGCACTAACAAGTTTATTTTCTTGTTCAGTTCATATCTTTAAAACAATTATTTAATAACCTAACATTATTAGCAGAAATTTTGTTTTTATATTCAGGTATCATGTAATATTGGCCAATACATGATAATCTGCTTTTTTTTAAACTCTAAAAAAAGTATCAATAGGGATATCAGCCACAAAAATCCAGTAATTGGTGGTGCTTTTCCTCATTATTTTTTACTCTTCTTAAAAAAGCAGTGGCAGTGAGTCAACGTGTCCTACCTAAAACTGAATCGAACCTCATGCCAAACCCCAACCGGTCATATTGCTGATGCTCAACCTCAACCCAACCCCAGCCCTTACCCCATCCAGCTATAACCCAAATCAGGCCCTATCCCACACCCACATTTGGAAAACCCAATTTGAAAGGGGAAAACAGACTGTGTTGCACCATATTCTGGAAATCTTTTCCCATATTTCTGTGAAAGGTCACAACACACTGTCACAGCTGTTACCAAAAGCAGGGACGGTGCCTCCAATGAAAATATGACCTAAAAACTATACACAGGGTCCTGTACAACACAAACACTCCATACCTTAATATTCACATAAACACATCAATCTTTTCCCATTATTAAATCTACAGTGGCACAGAATCTGAATGGGTAACACATTTCAGCACAACACCCATATTCCCAAACTAGAAGCCTCTATTCCAGGACTACATTGTGCTCCAGTGGCATTAATCGCCCCTCATACAGTGCATCCATCTCCGAGCCAACAGCGCTAACTATCGCTCTCATCCTCGGTTCTAACCTACGCACATGACAGCGAGCAGACACACAGATTATACCTCCACAGAAAGCCCAGACCACAACTATAGTAAGCCTGAAATATAAAACTTGGGACACCCTGTAAACACCACAACAAAAAAAACTACAGCTTTAACGGAAAGATAACCCCTAGTAATATTCCACAAGAGATAAAGTACACAAACTCAACCAATGCCACAAATCTTACGAGTGCCTACAGGAATGTTAACTTACAGGGGCTACATTTCCGGAGATTGATGGACTCTTTAGACTGTTGCACCGTATGGACAACCAGTGTTGTAGCTAACATGTAGTGGGGGGGGGCGACAGGGTCAAACAGGAGTTGAATGTTCAGCCTAACGTTAAAACCGGAGACGTGAGAGAGAAGGGGGGGGGGGGTAGCTTGCGCCATAGTCCCGCTGCCTAATCAATAACATGCACACAAATCAACGGAGGAACCGTCTCAACGTTGACCGTTGGACGTTAAACTCGGCTCGGCCTTGTAACCGTTAGTAGAACCCTGGAACGGAACGTTGGCTCTGGAAAAGAAGAAGCTTTAATTCGACACCAGAAAAAAATAAAAAAAAACTCGCTTTTACCGTTGGTTATAAAAGAGCAATTCAACACTGGAGACTCTCAGTAGTTGGGCTACATACATGGTAGCTAACCCGTGTTGCAAGTACTTACCAGGGTGACAGTCTTTGTGTTTGGGCAAGGTTAAAAACATTAAGGATAAAATCCACCAGTAACTCGGTTCCCGTATTCTCCGCATGTTAGACTACTCATCGAGAGTAACAAGAAGGCAACGGGTGACAAAGTTTTTGAGTCTTTTCTCTCTTCTTTTAAAAACAAACAAAAAAAAAAATCACATACACACGACCGAAGCTGAAAGCGAAGTTGGCACAGCAACCACGAAGGCAGAGCATCAAAGTACTGGCGGTTAGCGGTTTAGGGCGACAGAGTCAATGCTGTTTAAAAAGACACATTTATTCGCCTCCAGTCCGAGCAGGAGCTGTTTTTAGCTTCGAGGAATAAAACGTTACGCACGCCACAGCTGTGCAAAAACTGTTGAAAATCTGCGGGACTCCACCGTGCCTGTAGCGGGCTTCCAGATAGCGACATTCCCGAAGTGTGGAGGGGTCAATCGGCGATCAATCGCTGTCTTTAACTAACAGAGAGAGAGAGAGAGAGAGAAAAAAGTGGTCGGCTATTATTGATTACACGTGGTCATTATGAAGTGATTATCCGCGGCGTCAGCGTGACGAAGGGCGATGCACAATGCGAAGAAAAGTGGTGCTGGAGACGTCCCATTCTTCCATCCAGGAAGTAGACTTAGCGGTCAGGCATGCACGGATATCTGGCTACTGGTCCCATCCTACCGGACAGGCTGCGTGTGAGAGGGAGCCAGCACGGGGCGGGAGCAGCTGAGGGGAGGGAGGGAGAGAGGGAGGGAGGTAGAGAGGGGAGGCGGTTCTTGGATTTGCTGAATGCAAAATGAGTCGGAACTCGGAACGGACCCAGAGGCTGGTTTCTGTCTACGGTGCTATGATAAGGAAGAGTCCAGAAAAAACAGAGGCTCATGTCAGATTGTCAAGTCACCAAGTCCAGCCTGGATTCTGCTGCCTTCCCTCCCCCCCCTTTTTTTTAATGTTGCATCAAACATGTTGCATCAAATGATGAAACACTGTTGGAATATTATCTAACTGAGGCCATTTCAGACTCTACAGTGGACTGAAGCCTTGTTCAGTAAAGGTAGAATCTACTGAATCCAACCCCCCACATCCTGCCATCTCACTGTTTTGCTGCTTCCTCCCAGGCCCCATTATTAAAATGACCCTCCTGTGGCCACACAATGATGTCCCTTTGCCTCCTGCTGGCAGAACTGTGAATGGAATACTTTAGCAGTAATCATCACCTGGAATATCATCATGTGTGAGTCTGTACTGATCGGAGAATTATGCATCCACCAGTGACTCTCCCTTAGGTAAATGTGTAGTCAGTAGTGTTCTTGCAGAACTATCCAGCTGGACATTTAATTTGAGGAATCTGATTAAATTTCTCATTTAATTACCCAGTTCTCTGCAGGGCCATTGAAGACAGTCACAAGGGCCCTTTGCTTTTAATGTGGGCCATCTGCTTCCTCTCCAAAATGCCTACCTTTTCACAGCCCCCACAGCCTCGTGGGCATCCTTGCACGATCCTCCAGGCTGCACTACCTCCATACACACTGCAAAACACAATACTCCAGACCTGACTGTATTCTGACTGATCAAGTCCAATTAACCTGAACAGAAGTTTCTGAACACTTTCCAGTTTTTGTTTTCTGTCTTGGCTGTGTCAGGTGACACAACTGGATGGCCCTGCTGAATTAATCATGCAGACTTCAAAACTCTTATGCAATAGGTCCATCACACTTGCCCTAACGTGTAGAGGTCACCAAACCAGTGAAACGTCACAATGTAAAATTAACTGTAATTCAAATTAGTTCTCATGCACATAAATATAGACCAATGCAACTGTAAATGAGTTATCAGTGAGAAGAGTTTGCTCAGTTGGATACGTGTTATATATTGCTGACACAATTAATTGATTAGTTGATTGATAGACAATCAATACAGCAACTATTGTGATGATCAGTTAATTGTTTAATTTATTTATCAAGTGAAAGTGCCAAACATTGAGTGGTTCCAGCTTCATAACTGTGAGGATTTGCCACTTATAGTAAACTGAAAAACCTTTTGGGTTTTGGACTGTTGCTCGGGACAAAACAAGCAGTTTAAAGGCGTCTGCTCAGGCTCTGCACGGACATTTACACAACTTTAAAGACCAAAAATTGATCAATTAATTCAGAAAAGAATCAACAAGTTAATCGATCATGAAATGCAGCCTTAATGTTGTAGTTAAACATTAACATGCAGTGGTCCCATGAGCGTCCTTTCTCACTGCTGTTTGGGCAAATTACTTTTCATGCAGTGGAATATAGGCAACCTCTAAGTCGGAGAAACAGCGCATGAACAGCAATGAGTGTAAAGTTAAGTAATGGCGGACCAACATTAAAAGTCCATGGAAACATTTTTGGTCGTAATTTAAGCAATAAGCCACAAGGCTCCTCGAAGCCAAGGCTGTGATGTACTTTGTGTGTTTTGCAAAATGTTGCCTTGCAGCTGTTTTGAAATCAACCATGACATGATCCCGGCTTATAGCTTTAATAAAAAAGGATGTAAGTGTTACACAAGGTTTTATTTCATTTCCAATAACACTCAGATAACAATAAAACAAAAACAGAGGGTGGGGGGGGGGGGGTGACATGTTCTTCATGATAAATCTTAACTCGAGAATATTAAAAAACAAAATGCAAATGAGGGGTTCTTCATCAGATGAGTGTTGGTTGGATTAATTTTGCGGTTTGCATCTCAACGCCTGTTGAAACTCAATTTTCTCCTGAACAGTAACACTTATTAGCCTACACGCGTGCAGTGCACTGCTGGTTTTCTGAAACATGTGAAATAAAGGGAACAGTGTAATTAATAATACGGCAATAAGTTGCACTCATGGCATCCATCTTGGAAGTCTGACAAATGCACCCAGGTGATACGGCATTCGTTTGGTGAAAGTTATGCCTTTTCATGCGGAGCCACTTTCTTCTCTCTGATCACAAAAAGAACACAAAAAAAGCAATCGCAGCCCAACATAGTGTAAATTGAGTCATGACCATTATTTTTCTTTTATATCAAAAGCACCATGCAGAGCTCCATGCCAAGACAGTAACAATCAAATGCTCAAAGCTACCCTCCACTTTCCACAGTACTTCTTTGCACTTTCTAGTAGTTTCATGAGGCATTTGTAATGTGTCCTTTGACATCTGGCTTTGTAATCTTTTTCACCCTTTGGGAGTTGAGACCCTTAAGGCGTCCTAACACTTTCCCCAACAGTTTAAATGTGCTTTAGATTGAAAAAAGAAAAGAAAAACAGAGATATGCATGATTCATTCGAGTCCAGCCATGACACCAAAACTGTCCCAAAGGCATCTCCTTCTCCCTTTGCCCTTAAGTGGTTTGAGAATCACACTTGTATTATTTTTTCAAACACATTTCACATGTTGACAGTTGGTACATTATGTACGACTGTGTGCATCAATTATGTAATGCAATTCAGGCTATGACTATATATAATTTATTTGATTCTCAATCTCTTACATTATTTAATCGCAAGCTATTTTTACCATTATTACTCTCCCCAAATAGTTTTATCTTTTGTTGGTCCATCGTCTAGTTCTTACCATCAATGTGTCATGTTTTCTGCACTGAATCTCGTCTGCATTAACGCTTCAGGACAGCGTCACCAGTGTCTGTCAGCTGTGGAAGGACAACTTTAAAAAGGGTAACACTCTAAAGGCTGCAAAGATGGGTTCAAAAGTGAGCCTCTGGCAGGCAAATAAGAATTTTTGGTTTTCTTTTCTTTTTAAAACAATGCTTTGCATTGCTGAATTAATTTATATGAAAAATTTAGGTTATGTTTTATTTTTGACTTAGAACTATATTATAATAAAATTTATGCTGATCCTTTGGAGACTCGGCTGTTTTTGAAGTCAATTTTAGGAGCCGATAATAGGCTCAGGATGTGAAATGGCACTTCTGCTATGATAAAATCAGATCTATGGCAATTATGAGTTTTGATTCAAAGATTAAAGGACTGTATTGGTGTTTTGCATCTCTTAGCCAATTTACTAAAAGTATTTGGGGCCTGGATGTTTTTGATTTCTCATGGCAGTTAATTTCTTCATGGTATGACAGACAATCCATTACAAAGAAAATTACATCTTATTTTTTTTTTTTTGTTAGAGTTATGTGTTATAATTGTGTTGTAATGCATTTGACTGATAGAAAGGCGTGAAGACAGTCGATAAGCAAACAGGGAGACGCTGCAAAATGTGAATTCTATAGCAGCCAACCTGGTCTTGGATATTGAACGTGCTCATAATTCCTTTCAGGGATTTATGGTCTGAATTTAACTTTTGCAATTGTGCATCAAAACAAAGATGCCTCTGAGAAGAGCAGATGGGAACCTCTCTGGTTCCTGTGGAAACAGGAGGGTACAATTCCTGAGGGGGAGCTACTATCCCCTGTATTGATTATTGATGCTATTCTAGTTGTCATCTGTCACCCTCAGTGTGGAAATTTACACTTGCAGTAAGTGTTAAAACAAACAACACAAAACTCTGCACTTCTTGTACTGTAAGAGAAACCACTGTTCCCCATTTTTACAGTTAGTTTTTAAATCGTTATAAGATCATACACTTGTTTCATATGTGCAAATGAGTTTATTCATCAACATAATACTTTAGTCCCAAATTGAGAAAGGCATTGCCATAATGTAATATGTTGGTGCAGTTGACCTAATTCAGGAGGATGGAGGATACTTTTCTGTAATAGAGATAATGAGAGAACCATGGAAAGTTTTAAATTTGGGTGGTCAGTATTGGATAAAGCAGATGAGAAATACGAGTTTGGCACATTGAGAAAAAGGGGAGTTATAACTTGAATGATTCGAGGCTGTAGTAGTTACTATTTGAAGCCAGTAGAGGGTGTCTGCAAAATTCATGTTGCCATTAATCACTGCAGTTGTTCAAACCACCTAGGACCATCAGTGAAGCGCCTGAAGAATATAATAGATTAATTTGTCACAGAAGGGCAACAAATCCCAGCAAAGAACTTGGATGGATGATTTAATAGCCAAGAAATCCAGGATATAGAGTCAGAGTGTCAACGTGTTTAATATGGTATATAATGATGTATATTGAAGTCAGAATATTACTTGATGTCAGTATATAGAAACCTTGCACATTGATTGTGTAGTTGTCTTCGCTGCTAACCACTGGTATTCAGTGAAAAATGAGCAAGAAGAATGATAAGAAAAACATGATATACGTTTCCATTGTTACTTATTTATAATATCAAGTTGAGGGACATTACGTTTGTGTGTATTCTCAACACATAGCAACTGTTGTTCTGCACGTGGCAACTGCTGACTTCTTCCAACATTGAGGAAAAAATCAGCCCAGCATATTCTGTGAAAAGCCCACGTTTGTGTCCTTGTGAAATAAAACATGTGTTTTTTTCTTTTCTTTTACAGATAATTTGTACCAGGATCAGCAAAGCTCAGGGATCAATTTTCATTTCACTTCAAACAACTTGGGTTAATTTGCAAGTCGCAGAGGACTGTTGAAAGTTATCACCATTTATCAAATGATGCAAAAACTGCTGGAGTAAAATTAAGAAAGGGAATAACAGAATATTTCTTGAGTTGCTCAAGGAATTTGCACAAATGGATCATTTTCAGTTGAATGAATTCAAATGCTAAAGGATGGATACCATATGGTTGTATAAGATATTGAGATACAGAGGAATTTATATGGTTTAAAACCTT